CTTACTCACATTTTAATTGAATATGAAATCAATTTAATTCATATAAATTTATTCAGTTATTCTTTGGTCTTTTCCTTCTACTGCAGCCATAAATATGCTAATTCAGACGAATTGCATGAATTCGTGTCGAAATTCATTTGTGTTTATCAGGCAGCATTCTAATTGAAATATTTTATTAAAGCTTTAATCGAAGATGCATATTTGTTGATTCTATTTTGTTGCATTTGCTGTGGCAATATTTATTCACCGATGTGCGAAGCGGACTGCAGTCGAAATTATAAATATTTATTATCATAATTTTCTAATCGATTGTTGTTTATTTATTTAWGCTGGGCGTGCAAAGGAAAACTTTGTGAACAAATATTCAATTCAATTAGGGTGCCTAATGATCCACATGGAAAAACAATTTATTTGCTTCAATAACAACCAAATGACAACAACAATAAAACATAAACAATAATAAATATGTGCAACAAGATTTACATGCATTTTTAGCCACACAGTTTTCCCTCTGGACTAATTTTCCGCTTTTCCATCCATTCAACTGGCCGAACGGATATGTTAGCATTTCTCTAGTTTTGCGGATAAATTTCAATTCATTTCGAAAAGTTTCTAAAGACAAACTACAACCAGGTTTTAGGTCACAAAGAGAGCAAATTTTTGCTCGATCAGTAAATAAATTCATTTTAATTGCAATCAAATATTGTCGAAAAGTTAGCATAAATTAATTTCCTTTTCGATTTTTCTATGAATTTCATTAGTTCACATTCATTAGCTTTCAAAAACTGAATTTTGGATTTTTAATTTATTTTGTTTTCATTTTCTTTTTGCCTTTTTTCAGATTTCGAATTTCCTTTGAACTTGCTTGTCGTATAATTAAATTTCTTTTCTTTACTATTCGCTGCTGCGAAAGCTTTTACACTTATTTAGTTTTTCCTAAAGCCGTCAAAAAAAAAATGCTTTGAACTCCTATTAAAAGACATTTGTAGCTGCCAATCAAGGAATTTGAGTCATGTCACAGCTATTGAAGCGATGCGAATTTGAAATGCTCTTACTTATCTGTCGACCCACCACAAGAAATTCTTAAACTAAATGTATATTTTATAAATTTGCAATATTAACCGAGTGGATATTTACATATATTTTGTATTTCCTTAGTCTCAGCTGCTTTGAGTTAGTTCAGCGATGCGAAACTTGTTCATAAATGTGGCTTAGACTCGCAACAGTCTCAACTAAAAGTCAAAGCCAATTTATGTAATTGTTTTTAGCATCGTTTGCAGCTGCTGCCTGTCTCAGCCGTCGCTGCCGCTGGCTGTGGCTGTGGCTGTGGCAAGTGCAAATTTGCTGAAGGGGCGCAATGAATCTAATAAAGAAATTACGCCAGACAGCGATGCTGCCAAGGACAACGCCATGCTTAAATGTGATCCCAGCTAAAACAAAAAGCAGCACAAGCATATATTTATATATATACATACTTATATACATGTATACAACAATGGTTTCTTATTGTTGTTGTTGTTTGTGTTGATGTCGCCAATTGTTTGGCTTTAACATAATGAGCTGAATATAAAGTACGTCTGATGGCAGGCCATAAAAATTGTTTATACTTAGGAGACGCATGAATAATTTAAAACGAAATCATTAGCTAGGGATCTGTGTCAGTATGCGTGTGTCAGTGTGTGTGTGCCGTTGTGTATGTGTGAGTGCTCTAACAGTTGCTGTGGCTCATTAAATGCTCGATTTATCAATTTGGCAGCTAATGCTAGTTACCTTTGACCTAGTCCTAAAGACATAAACATGCAGATATAAATAGCCATGTCCTAGTCGCACCTCCTGCTCCCGCCAACCTCCACCACCTGCCACGTGCTGATGAAATGAAAAGAAAAACTTGGTGGCACAAAGTTTTGTTTTGTTCTGCTGCTGAATGGAAGCAGCTAGAGCAGGGGCTGAAACATTATTTTTATATTTAGCTTTGCTGACAACTTGAGCCAAATTGACAGAGATCGAATAACTGTCTTGAATGCTCGCTACATTCTGTGGTAGCTGGCGAAAATTCGTGGCAAAAAAAATATGCGAAAAAATTCGTAGAAAAACTAGAAAATCCAACACAAATGCCAAAGAAATTTCAATGAAAATGTTTTTACACTCTAACCACATATGATGCCTATGGGCTGTGGAACAATGGACTTGATTTTCAAATTTTTAATGCATATTTTTTAGATATGTGAAATGTTACCACAAAAACAGCGATTTACAAATTCCACAGAAATAAAAGAAAACTATGAAACTTTAACAGCGGCATAATAATATTTCTATTAGAGGTATTTATTTGATGCAGATAGCTTTCTCATGCATACACTTAACTAATATGAGTATAATAGTAGTAATTAATAGTAATTAATAGTAATTAATAGTAAATTAAACCTATAATTTACTCATTATAAGTCCATTGATATCTACGCTAATAATTCCCTTAAGTAAAAGTGAAATTCTAACTTTATGGCGCATCCTTTCTGGCTAGGGCCCATGCCAGCTTTATATACACTCAATTAGTTGCCCATTCGACGCCCACTTAATTGTAGGCAATCAGGGCGTGGTCATAAAGTGTGTGCGCTCGCAGCTGGAATTGCACATCCTCGTGCCGCATAAATTGTGCAACATTTTTGGGGCAAAAGTTTTGCATCAATTTTCTTGCACTTAACCAAAAACATGCAACAACTGCAAAAATCTGAAATGCTAAAGTGTGCCACTTATCGGGCATATTTTATGCGACTGCATTTGCTGTTGCTGTTGCTGTTGCTGCTGCTGTTGCTGCTGCTGCTGCTGCAAGCTGTTGTTGCCTGCCAGCAAAGTTGCAAGAACAACAGCAGCAACGACAACAACAACAACAACAGCGACGCGCACATCAATAAAACGAAAATTACGGCAAACTGTCGCAACAAGCGAAGGGCAGGGGTTGAGCCAAGGGTCTCGGCGCTGTTGGGGTGCAGAGGGGGGCTTGTTTACCTATCGATGGGCGTGGCGGTGCCACCACGGCGGCAATGGCAACGGCGTCGGCTGCTGCGCGCAGTGAAAACAATCGAAATTATAGCAAACAAGCGCGTAAACTTTACGCTTTCAATGCTGCACGAACGTATGTGTGTGTGTGTGTGTGTGTGTGTAAGCATACGCCTGGCTGCAGTTCCATAGTAGTTGCTGTTGTTGTTGCGGTGGGGCTGCGGTGGTTGGCACTCGACAGCGTCATTTAAATTGCGCGACAAAAAGTGTTGCACAACTGCCAGCCTAATGCCAATACACACAAACACACATAGACACACACGCACACACATGCAAATTTACAGAGTTGTAAGTGTGTGTGCAGCGGTATTCTTTTTATCTGCGCATTATTGTTGCCCCTCCTGCCGCCCCTCCTGATGCCATGCAAATTCTCTCATTCGTGTGCACAAATTTCGTAGCATACTTTTTAGGGGCCAGCCACAACAAAATGTGTGTCAACAATGGCAATGGTCGTTGTTGTTGTTGGTGTTATTGTTTTTGTTATTGTGGGTTCTCGGCTTTGATCATGGCAAATGCCAACTATTTTTTTTTTTTTTTTTTTTTTTATACGGACAACAAACTAATGTGCGCCTTTTCGAGTGCGTCCAGGCAGATAAAACTGCAATTAGCCATGCGAAGGCTGTTTTGATATCCCTTTGCCATTTTCCCGCCCTCTGGCTGGGAGGCTTCGCCTTAAACGGCATTTACCAACACGTTTATTGTGTGTTTGCATAGGCCAAAGCCGTGCTAGTTGTGCGACCATAATTACATGTAAATTAGAGCCACATGTACAAAACGCTTCATTTATGAATATATGAATGCGGTTAATTAGACCGCAGCACATAGCCTTGCGGCCTCACTCTCCCTGCCTCCCTCTCTTTCTCTCTTTGAGTCTCTGTTTCTCTCTCTGCTTCTAATCGAAACCCTTATTTCGAGCAAACGTGTTTTCAAGTCATGTAATTATATTTAATTATTTTTTATAAAAAACACACAATCATTGACTTTAACAGGAACTTTTACACATACAAACACACACACGCACACATATGTGCATTTGCTTGTTTGTTGTGTGGGGCTTATACGGCAAAAGGTACAGTTCATTAACGTTCATGACATTGCGAGGCAGACAGAGAGGAAACCTTTTGTAATACTAATTAATACGAAAATAACATGTACCCATGGATATGACCCAAATCCAATAAAGTATAATTAAGTGAGCTAACGCGTGAGCATGCTCAGCCCAGAAGTACCCTGTAAATGAAGAGTAGTACTTCCAAGAAAAAGTCCATTAGATGAGCATAAATATTAAAAAAAAAAATAAATAAATAAATAAAATTATTAGCCCAACTGTTATCAAAGGATATCTCTTTTAAATTAAAACCTAATCCTCATATGAAAGACTCTGGATAGATGGAGGTCTATCATATAGCTCTAAGCAGTTCCTAATATGGCTTTAAGAAATTTGAGTTACATTGTTCAGTATATGAAAAATTTCATTCGGATAGTATAGAAATAGTGCAATATTCCCTATATAAACATAAAAATCAAAATCCACAAAATTCCCAATCCAAAGCCTTTATATAATTTAAATCTTTCCATTATATTTATATATTTTTAATCTACACTAAAAACCTCCTAAAACCCTCTAAAAACTCGAAAGCTTACAGGGTATGGGCGCACGAAGAAGACGCTAAAGGGTTGTCAATTTGCATTTCTTGCGCAGCTCTCACTTATTTTAGCCAATTTGTGAAATGTGTCCACATTGCGTTTTCATTGCATTAAAAATTCCATTAGCTGGAAACTGTGTGCATTAATAAAGGCCACAAAGAAAAAGTGAAAAATGAAAAGGAAAGGAAAAAGCAGCTCATGGAATATTTTCCAACAGAGACCGATAGAAATGTGGCTAAGAAAATGGAAAGACTGAAGAAGAAGAAGAAGAGCAAATCGTGTTTTGTTCAACTCACCGAAAATTCGTCCAGCTTCGATGGATGGCATTGTTGATGTTGTTGTCGTTATCAGCAGCCAGACAAAGCCATAAATAATGAGTCCAAGATGATTTCTCGATTTCACCGATATGCGCAGCGTCATTTTGTGGGCGTGGCTTTTGCGGCTGTTGCTGCTGTTTCAATTTGTATCCTTTTCTATATATTTATCTCTTTCTGAAAGCAAGTGCTTTGCGGTGGTTTACGTTGCGTGATTTTTTTTTTTTTTTTAATTTTTTTTTCTTATTTTTAATGGTATTTGGATGGGTTGAAGTTTTCGCCCATGGGTTATTCAATTGAATTATATTTTTGTTTACTTTCGTTGGCCAATTTGTTACACGCTCTCTCTTTCTCTCTCTCTCTGCCTCGCTTAATGTTTTTACTAGTTTTTTTTTTATTTATACTTTTGAATTTTCAATTTAAACTGTTTACATGCAGAGTCGAAGCCTCAGGTTATCATTTTATTGAAGCTGTAAAATGGAAAAGAATGTTTATTTTCATTGTGCCAATATTTGATTATTAGCTGCTGAAAAGATTGCAAGAGTTTTATTTATGTTTTCGAAATTGATTAGTGAAAGCTATATTTATCTACTAAGAGAAATTCATGTTGACTTCCAATGTGCGTAAATATGGAGGCATGGAATATTTGTGCACTTTACTTTAATGAATTGAAAGGATTTGAGAACAGGAGTAATGTGTAAGGATTTTATACAATAATAAAGAGTGTACTTTAATAATAAATACATGTGATCATATGCACAGCATATAATAGTTTCAAGGAAACTATTATATATACAAACATTCATTTCAGATTTTTCTTCTCGAATGTGCGCGCCAATTTCTAATTCCATATAAAAAAATATATATGAAAATGCCAAATTTCTGCTCGAATTCGGTTGCTTGCAAAATGGGCTAGCAGCCCTTTTGGCCGTCAATAAATAATGCCCCAAAGGGAACTGCAAATGCGCCAACAAAAAACGAGTTTCCAACTGTGTGCGCCTGTCATTTTCGAGCTGCGGTTGCAGAATTAACCAGGAGATGTCAAGTTGAAGCAGCAGGGAGCATAAACACAACACACACACAAACACACATAGATATAGAAAGACTGAGAGTGAGAGTGAGAGAGGTCTGTGTGTGTATGTGTGTTTGTGTGGGTTATAAAAGTTATATGTGCAAAATGAATTTGGCTTTTTTATAACAAGAACTCGGCGCACTCGGAAGTCTGACAACATAAAATGAAGTGAAATCTCCGCTGGTGGTGCCCAGTGAACTAATGGAGCTGAGCCGAGGTGGTGCGGCGCTGCAGCGGCTGCAACAGCATAAAAGCAGCGTAGGATGCGCCAACATAAAAGTGAAATTCGCAACAGCAGCAGCAGCAGCAGCAGCAGCAACAACGACAACAACAACAGCAGCAACATTGAACCGCAGCTGAGGGTTGCACATTTAATGCGGCAACAGTTACAACATGTGGCAACAAATGGTGCTGTTTGCAATTGTTGTTGCTGCTGCAACTTGGCGTGTTGCCTTTTGACTATAAAAAGTGCAAACTGAGCAGTAAGCGCCTTAAAGCTGCCACTTTGATGCGGAACATGCTACACAGCCAGCAGCAACAGCAGCAGCAACAGCAGCAGCAGCAGCAGCAGCAGCAGCAGCAACAAGCTTAACTACAGCTTGAACAACAACAACAGCAACAACATCACCTCTCCCTCTTTCTCGCTCACACACATGACGTAAATGTTGTGGTTGCTTTTAAAAACTTTCATTTTAACGTTGGCACAGCTACAAAACTGAAACGAAAGTTTTCGCTGCACCTTTTAATTCTTTGCCCCCATTTGTGGCATGTTGCGTACGCCCCAAAACGCACAGGCTGAGCAGGCCAACAGATGCTGTCATTGATACAGGAGCTGCTGCAGCATCCCACTTTTGCGATCAATTTAATTAATAAAGATTTCACCTATATTTCAATTGAGATCAAAGTTTTTTTAAGGCAACCCCAATGCCTAACCCCAAGGCCAGCTAAGAGCTTCTAGCTTAAAGCCAACACGCATGATTGAAGGGCCAACAACTTGGTTTAAGCACTGACAAACGTTTCCTATACGTCAATATTAGAGAGACAGAGAAGAGCTATTATATAAAATGTTTTAATAATCTTTAAACTATTACTAGGCTTGCTTTCAGACAAAATAGAAGAGGGTATACGAATCTAATCTAATCAAGTCGAATAAATTGTTAAAGTTTGCCTGAAAAATTTAAAAAATTTAAAAAAATTTTAAAACATGTATCACAAATTTCATTTATTTTTTATTGAGTAGTAAACGAAAATAAAATGCCTGTACATAATTATATCAAACTATAAAGTAGCTAACAAAAATTGGACTGTAATGCAGGCACACACAACTTATTTCTCATTTCTCTCTCAACTCAACTGCGAACAAAAACAGTTTGAAGTGTTTTAATCATTATTTGTAAAATTGTGCTTTTTAACTTTTAATCAAAACTCTTAACTCTGTTGAATAATTAAAGCTTACGAGAACTTTTTGTTGGCAAATATTTTATATTGAATATATCAACTCTTGAAAAAATGTAAGTTTTTTAAATATGGTTGCAGCATAACAAATATTAAAAACTATACATGCAAATATTTTATACATTTATTTGTATATATAAAAACACATATATGTATATTTACATGCGCCAGGGCTGCACTCGTATATAAGGTAATTATTTTCAACTAACAAAGGTTCGTGCACACACAATATAAGCTGGTTATCTATAAGCCCATTTGAAGAACCTTTTTGTTATATATTCAGTAGACTTTGTTACCAACTTCCGATGCATTGCCTTGTCTTGTTACTCTGATGAACTATAATCATTGCAGGTTTTCAAATATCTGTTTCTATCCAAACTAACTATCAATCATTGAAAGAAAACTGAAAATATATTTGCTATTTTTATTGGTATTTGCAGACTATAATTTACATGTTCATTTTGCTTTTCCTTTGTAGAGTTCACAATTCGAATTTCCTTTTAATATTTGCCAACAAGTTTCCTTTGCCTGTGCCTTTAAAATAAAACATTTTCATATAGAAAATTTCATATTGCAGCCCGCTTGGCTTTCAAATGAAAATGCAGCAAGTTTTTGGGATAAACAAATTGTTGTTCCACACGTTGATTTATGTGTTATTACTACATATTCTCCCTTTTCACTTTTGTTGCTCTCAGTTCGGTTCGGGCTGCTGGTAATTAAAGTTTTTTCTTACATTTCTCTCATTGCATATATACATATATTGTGTGTTAATATATATATGTATGTTTATAGATGTAGCTACACATCTGACTGTCCGCACACGGAACATACAAACATTTTCGGGTAAATAAGTTTTTGTGGCTATGCATGTATTATTTTGGACTTGAATCTGCCAGGAGCGTGCACAAGTGTGTATAAAGTATAATTGTGGAATCCAACTCCCACTGCTGACACACCCCTGTGTACACATTTATGTTCGGCTAACAATTGCTCCACAAAAATGCAAACCCCTCACTCTGGGGCAGCAAACCCCATTTGTGTGCAGCTGCAATAAAGGGTATTCAAATGTTTTGTTTTCCACCTGACTTTTTAGCTTTTAATATCTCTCTTCTTTCTTTTTTTTATAGTTTTTTTGCTGTGGCAATTTGCGAATTCAGTGTGAATCCCGCTCAACATTTATTTGCCCTGTTGAAAGTCATTAAAATGTTGTTAGTTACAGAGAATCAAGAGCAGGACTTAAGCTCGAAAGCAGAGATTATTGCGTTCAACACATTTGCCAACTGAATGGACAAAGAATTATTTCTGCTTCAGTGCTTGCATTATTTTTTAAATAAACAAAGGTACTTTAAATTACGTACTCTTGATATCTGTTAGGCTTAACAGTATTATTAACTTGATTTGGAGTTTTGACTGTCTATATAGCCATACGAAATAAATGCTCTATGAAAAGAGCAAAGAAATGAGTAAGATGGAATTTTTAACACAGTAAATTAATAGACAAACTATTTTTAAGTAGCTAAAAAATAAATGAATTAAAATATATGAAATACAAATATATAAAATTAATTAAAAATATGAAAAATGTTTATAGAAAAAAAAAAAAAAAAAAAAAAAAAAATGTAGTGAGCTGCAAATATTTGTTCATAAATAACAACTAAATCCCTATTAATTATTAAATTTAATGAACTTCCAATGAAATTTACATATTTTCTGTGCCTTTTCTGTTTTCTGATTTGATTTTCAGTATTTCTGAATAAATTCTAAATTTAATCATCAATTGATTTGATACTGAGAAGCCAAGAAAGCCAGAAATCCGTAAGTGGGGTTCGACTCCCAGTGCACTCCATTGTGGGCGAGTTCTTGGAAATAAAAGCCGAGAATTTCGAGTTGCTCCGAAACTTGTTCAAATGTTTCTCTGCTTTGTAGGACGCTTTGAATGCCAACAATTTATTGTAATAAAACATGCACAATCGAGTTAAGCTTTCATCTCATTATATTATATTACATATTATGCTATTGTAGAGCACATTCTATTCCATTCTTTTCTCCTCTGTTGCACTCATTGGTTCCACAAGTTTAGCTCACTTGCCTTTACTGGCACTTTTAAGTCATAGTAAAATTCATCGAACAGCACACATTGGGGACACATTTCTTTAGCGCTCACTATAATTATACGTTGCTGTCTGACGACTGACTATGCTTTTAAATAAAATATGTATGGCAGACATATAATCGTTATATACATATAATCACTATATAGACGGGCCGTGTCTTTGACTGGGAGTAGGCGCTGCGCAAGCACCTGACACTTAACGAGCGTAGACGCCGTCTAATCCAAACAGAGACGCTGAAGCCCACTAATGGCTAATAGTAACATTTACAGTTGCGTTTGCCGTTTGCCGTTAGCTGTTAGCTGTTAGCCTCGCAGTGGACTCTCAGGGTGGAGTGTCTTGCCTGGAGTCGCCTTGCGCTAAGCACCTTAACGACTTGGGGCCAGCTCGAGCCTCATCAAGTGGTTGCCAACTGCTGCTGACCAACTCAACAAGTTAGCCTCCCCCTCACTCCAGCCGCGCTCTTTTGGCCCAGCTAATGAGCAGTTGTCGATGCAGCAAAGCAAAGCAATTAAACTGCCAGCGAACATTTCCGTTCAGCATTTTCT